TTTTTGAGACATTTTACAGAAAATATCGGATTTTTTCTGGGTTTTTACAAAAGATACAAAGACATTTATTCAAACATACTTATGAACTCATCAACATTATATATGTTGACCGTTTTCAAAATAACTTGTATTCTCATGTAATCGTTAAACGGGAAGATTTTCAAGTATGTATGGTTTTATTTTATGTAACATCGCTCATCGTACTATTAATACTTTGAACTTATGTAATTTATAACAATGTACTTGATGTGAACAATGTTGGTTGTTATATGTAATGTTGGTGATGAATGTGTTATGTTTCATGTATATTTATTGTGATGATAATTCAATTGTTAGTCACACGAGCCCCCAGACGTTTCCGCCGTCTGGTTCGGGGGTGTGACATTAGGTATGTATTATATGTAGTTCTTTAGTTTATATTCATATCCTTAAGCCGTTATTAGATGCTTAAGCTATTGAGACAAAAAAATATTGTAATGACCGTGTACTATAAAAGTTTATCATCGGGAAGATTTAGGATTTTTATGTATAGAAGGTTGATTATTAAAACAAAATATATCCACTTCCTAGAATTTATAAAATTTATATATTCTTTAGTATAACCAACAAAAGAATGGCGTTTTGCCGCCATCAAGTTCCATTTAACCTTATTTTCTTACTTTCTTAGATAATTTACCATCGAGGTAATGGGATACAATCCCCTTCACTGAAATAAAAAACCATCCGTGGGACACTATACCTGGGAATCTTTGTAGTTAGGTCATTCTTAAGATTCTTACATTTGAAGACCAAACATGTTCTAATCTTATTCCATAATGTGCATGCTTTCTAAAAGTGCAATTCTTATCAAGTTTATATGGTTGTATAACTTTGTATTTTTTAATAGAAACAAGAATCACACATGATGAGAACAAAAGTATGTGTAAAAGGGATATGAAAGTGGATGTTACCAAAAAATGGATGTTGGAAAATCCATTCCATATCCTTCACTTGCATTAACCAATACATTTGTTTTTCAAGATCCAATATAGTTGAGTCGGATGCATATGTTGTCAAATAGGATCTCAGGTTTGTCTTATTTATTTATTTTCTTATTTATTTTTAATTTCTTTATAGGTAAATTGACATTTGTATTATAAAAATGATGTATGTGTGAAGTAAGTATGAACAAAGAGCGTTTCTTTTTTTGCAGCCATCTAAAGTTTGGTAAATGACCCTTTTACACTTCTTTTTTTAGGGCGTTTTATTTTCATTTTTTGTAAAAATCTTTTAACTTTTGCAATATATTGATTACGGGCTGCACATCTATAGAATTATCCTAACTTCTACACAACTTAATCTGAAGTCATCTGATGTGTGTGAAACGAACTACTTTTAATCCTACTTTTCTAATGTAAGTTTGACACACAATAGGCAGTGTACCTGTCAATTGGTGGTATAGTTTTTAGTAAGCAGGGTATCGAACTCAGGGAACGGTAATTAAACTAATTACTAATATTATCTAAAACAAATAATAAAATAGGAGGGGTTTCTCTAGTTTTACAAGACTAGAAACTTAACTAAAACTTACCTAGCACTTAATTAAGCAGCTAAACAATTAAATTGCAACTAAACTCAATGATAAAAAGGACTTCTGTCTAGGTTTGATTCATTTGATCCTATGGTTGATTTTATGGTAAATATATCGGATTAACTTTTCATTGGCTACCGATTGAGATGATTAGGTTCACGTTCGTTATTGCTAATCCTTAGAAAACAGATTAATTCAAGCAGTGGCCAGTTGTCTAAATTAATAAGTTCCCTAGTTAATTAATTCGGGTTTAGTAAGACTTGTAAATGGTTAATTGAATTGGTGATTCAATTAACCTCTTGTTGATGGTGTATCACACAAGCTCACGTATTAATTTACCTATCTTCTAGTTAATTCTAGTTTCACATTCGTTATTCCTAGACATATAACTACGTGATCACATAAATCATATGAAATTAATAATTAAGAGATGTTCATACAACTTAATTACTGATTTATTTACAGAAAATAGTTGTTATTAATATATGAGGTTCTTTAACAAGCTTAACAAAACAATATCTCCAATTAAAATTAATTCTAACCATAAAATCAATCCATATTCACAAAATCATCTACCCTAAACAGAAGACAAAGGTTTTAGTTCATAATTGCAGTAAAAACAAACTCAAAAACGAATTCAATTCGTGCAAACATGATTCAATTAAAAGCTTTAACAAAGAATAAACGAGAATTTGCCTTAATCCTCTTCAAAGTCGAACTTAGGGTTGATTCCTCAGCTTCTCTCGGTCTAGCAGTACTTTCAATCGCAATCTGAGCCTCCTAGGGTTCCAGAGTAGTCCCCCTCTCGATCTCAAAGTCCCTATTTATATTTTTCTGGAAACAGAGGTAACTCGCCGAGTCAAGGTCCCAACTCGTCGAGTCCCTTATTAAAAATCCGTGTATGGCAAGGACTTCTAGAGCTTCGCGAATCTTCAATCCAACTCATCGAGTCAGGTTTTGACTCGAAGAGTCCTTCTTGTTTTTGGCATTTTTCTTCTTTGTTTCAACTCCCGAACTTCCAACTGCTTCTCCTGCTTCCTTTTGCTTCCGAGCATATCTTTTGGACTGAAAATACAATTTGAACATTATTAAGTACCTTTTGTCCATAATATGTAAATAATTAGCTAATAAATAATGAAAATCTATACTAAATATATAGCTAAATATGCACACATCATCACCTCATAGGAATTCGACATTCAAAAAGCTTTTTAACTTGCCACCAAAGGAATTTCTCATCGATGATTTTGTCATGCTCTCTCATAAGAAAATTAGCCCTTCAGGTATACTCGAACGGTTGAATTTGATTACGGACTGCACATCTACACAAACTGGTCATTTATTATAGTTTCCAATTTCATTTTTGAAGAGTAGACTCTTCCTATATTCAAGAACTGTTGAGTTTTATGCCAACTTATTGCGACACAAAACAAGGTTTTATTGTAGCTGCTTTTTTATTCTTTTATTTGTTCTTTTAGTGTATGATACAAAATTAGATGAACTAGGCCAATGTTATGAACTATCATTGTTGGGTTTTATACTAATTGTAGCCTTATACTCTGAATTTATTTTTCATATAACGAAATTATATTGTTTTTCCTTTTGTTTAATCCCAAAAAGAACTTAAATGAAAATGAAAAATGAAAGATAATTCAACTAAAAATACAACTTATGACATTTCAGATTCTAGAGGACATTTGACAGTTTTCTTATAGGTCGCACTTGTGTTCTACATGTTAAAGTTTTTTGCCAACTCAAGAAAAAGGAGCATGCCCCTTGATTAAAATTGACTTATATTTGGAGATATGTATAAATTGATACTAATATCCTTAATAAATGTTATGATAAACACACGACAGACAAACACAAGGGTATTGTCGTAACTTAAGTTAGAAACATATTTACTTACAGGATTCTTATAAAAGCATTTATGTTATTTGCTAATGTCCAATGATCGTCAATACCAGTCTTTGGTAACTTCATTACCTTAGAAAGTTGAGCAATAACATCAGAGGGGAGAGGAGTGTAAACATCATATATGTCTGAAACTAAGAAAATCAATGGCTGCAATAAAAAATACAAAAGAGCTTGAAGGAATAATTCTTTTTGAAATGTTATTTTTTATAAAAAAAAATATCATGTTGCAATGAGTCAAATGTAATTCCCATAAGTGTTTGAGGACCCTCCTACACAATCATATTGTTGTTGTTGTTGTTGTTATTATTATTATTATTATTATTATTATTATTATTATTATTACAAATCTATAGTAAAACATTAACTCGAAGAAAATATAAAAAAGTTGTAATTTTTTAGAAAAAAAAATGCATGAACTTACTGGAAGATCATTAACAAATCGACTGATAGCACTACAAGCTCCAACTATAGCACCAATTTACATTCATTGATACATCAACAAGAAATAAAAAAAGACAACTGACATTGGTTCCTGAACCTAAGAAGAGTATAAATTAAAAAGAAATAGTCTTGAAGGTACTCATATATGACAAGGAAGGTTGTCCAACTAATAAAACAAAAAACGTTGTTTACAAAGAGGTCCTTCATCAATTATAGATATTCAAACATTTCATTGTTTTTTCAATGTTATCAATAATGTTAATTCCATTTCTATTAGTTTCTTTTTAATTATTGTGCCAACTTTTTATACTTTTATATGTATTTTTTTATATGTTCACTGCGTTTTACGCGGGTCATAATCTAGTTTTGATAATATATGCTTATCAGATTCATAGACTTGTTTATAACCACACTTATTAATTACACCACTAAAAACCAAGTTCTTCCTAATCTTAGGAACATGTATAACATTCTTAAGAAGACTTTTTCCACAACTAAAACATAAATACACATAACCACGACCAACGATAGATGCTTTATTATGGTCCCTTATGATGAATAAATTGGTCGGATTATGGTCAATCATTCTCACCATGTTTAATGTTTTGACATGACATGATACGACACGTTTGTCAGGTCTACGTACAAACAAGACATTGCGAGTAAATTTGAAAACTAGTTAATTTTAATAATCGATTCCGAATCTAATTTTACAATCATAATTTTATAAAATATAAAATAATGTTAAAAGAAATCATGATCTTAATAAACCTCACAAACATTGTTAGGAAAATAAAATAGGAGAGATACTTGTTTGGTTTTGTTTTCGTTGTGGGCCGAACCGAATTACATCTTAAAATATTAAATCAAACCAACATGAACATGTGTCTATTTTTAAACTTTATTTTGATCATCGGACCTACGTATGAACACACGGTAAGCTGTTTGAATTTGGGCTTCGAGAAACCCGGGCCAGCCTCCATTGAAGACTTCAAACCGAAGAAGGAAAGCTACGAAGGTAGTGGATGCTTCTCGATCCATTACAATTATCTTGTCATATTATTATTTGGGATCGCATGTAAAACTACAAATATCAAGTGGAAACTGGAAAGAGGAAGGAAAAAACCTAACCAAGTTTCTTGAGGAACAGGGCAAAGCTTAATTTGCAGATTGTCTAAAGTATATTAAATCGGATCGATAATCAAAAGTATCGAAGATTCAAATTGACATTGAAGTTGTTGGAGATCTGTGAAAGTTTAGAGAAGATGGATTTTGAGTTGAGAAGAGCGAGAGAGAAATTGGAGAAAGAGCAAAAGGATAGGAAAGAGAAGGCGAGGGCAAGATTAGATAGAGAGAGAAAGGCCAAACAAGAAGCTAATCGTCAGCGTGAGGCGATCGAGGCTTCTCAGAGAGCTCGTAGAATCGATGCCATGGAAGCCCAACTTAAGGTACATCATTTCCCCCCTTTTGTTCTTCTCGATTGATTGTCAAGTGATTGAAATCAATGCCATTTTGTTCATTCATCTTAACGATTGTTATCCAATTCTATTGAATAAATACATTCATGATTGAAATCACGATGAGTTTACTCCTTCATCCTGACGATTTTCATCAGATTCTATGTATTGATTACTTGATGCGACTCATGTAATCCAATTTCATGATGATTTAGGGCACAGAAACACAATAACAACTAAATTGCAACATTTTAATCTTCGATCATTTTGCTATTGTTCAGGCAGATCAACAGATGGAAGAAAACATACTTGTCGGAAGAGGAATCTCTTTCAATCGTGTTCTTGAAGCTGTACCATTCGAAGGCTCCGGTGATAAAATCAAACTCCCACCTTCCTGTTTCAACGATTTATCCAGTGAAGGTGCTTTCGACAAAGGCCCCCTCCATTTCCAACTTTCAGTACATCACCAAAACAACTCTTCACCATCAGAAACCATAACAACCCATGCTGGTGTCCTAGAATTCACTGCAGATGAAGGTACTGTTATCATCCCTCCTCACATCTGGAACAACCTATACTCCAAAAAAGACCCAATTACCCCTCTAATCGAAGTCAAATACGTATGGCTTCCAAAAGGAACATACGCAAAGCTTCAATCACAAGAACTCGGATTCTCAGACATACCCAATCACAAAGCAGTCCTTGAAACAACCCTTCGCCAACACGCAACCCTTTCTCAAAACGACATTTTAACAGTCAAACATGGTGTGTTGACTTATCATCTCCATGTCCTCGAGCTCAAACCTTCACCAAGTGTATCCGTTCTTGAAACAGATATAGAAGTCGACATCGTGGGTCCCGATTCACTTCCCGAAAACAACACCCAACATGTTTTAAAACAACTAACATTTGGAAAACCCGAATCAGGAATCATAAACGAAGGTGATTACATATATTACAAATTCACAATAAACGATGAAACATGGGGGAAAATTTCATCTGGGTATGCTGAAATTGAAGTGAAATTAGATTCAGAAGCGAAAGATTGCGACACCGATCTTTATCTTTCGCGACACCCGCTTTTGTTCCCGAGTACACATCAGCACGGTTGGTCTTCACATGACATGGGTTCAAAAAGTTTGGTTCTCGGGTCAAAAGATCACAATCTGGGTATTGGTGGATATAGTGTAGGTGTATATGGGTTCAAGGGTACTACAAAATACAATGTTATAGTAAGCATTCAAGATACTCCCACCACAAATGTAAGTCAACAAGGTCAACAAAGTGTGTCTTCTTCTTCATCATTGGTGGATACTGTGGAGTGTGGAAATTGTAAGCATTATATACCGTTGAGGACTATAGGGCTTCATGAGGCGTATTGTAGAAGACATAATGTTGTTTGTAAGCATGATGGTTGTGGGGTTGTTCTTAGGGTTGAAGAGGTTAAGAATCATGTGCATTGTGTGAAATGTGGGTTGGCTTTTCATTGTAGAGAGATTGAAAAACATATGAAAGTGTTCCATGAGCCTTTACTTTGTCCTTGTGGTATCACCCTTGAAAAGACGCAAATGGTAAGCAAATATTTCATACAATAAAATAGTCTTGTTGAGTACAAATTTTGTCCCGTTGACATTAGTCCTGGTCCAATACATGTCAAACGCAGTACAACCTGATATGTTAAACGCAGTACAGTCTGTTATGTGAAATTATTTTTATATAATGATGAGGGTTTTTGTTTATTATAGGTGGAACATCAGGCGTCGGAGTGCGCGCTACGTTTGGTGATATGTAGATTTTGTGGGGATATGGTGGAAGCAGGGAAACTGGCGGTTGATGCGCGGGACCGGTTAAAAGGACTTTCAGAGCACGAGAGTCAATGTGGGTCCCGGACTGCCCCGTGTGATTCTTGTGGTCGGGCGGTTATGTTGAAAGAAATGGATATTCATCAAATAGCGGTTCATCAGAAGAATTGATCTTGGTTTATGTGGTGTTTGTTATTGAAAGTATGATTGTTTATGATATCGGTTGATTAAAGGGCCTGTTGGTTGTGTAAATTGATGGTATTGTTTGTGGTATTGGTGTAAATTTATGATTTATATGCAAGACCACTTGAATCATCTTTTTTTCTTGATTTAAGCCAATAGGAGGTTTTGTATGAAATTTGGTTGTGTTTATGTTGTGGAACATCTTATAGAAGGAAAAAGGAAAATGACGCAACGACCCTATTATGTATTTTGACTTTATCCTTTCGGTCCTTAAAGTTTTTTTGTGCCCTTTAAGGGAATAAATTGTTTTATTTCGGGTGGATTTTGTCACTTTTGACAAAATGAAGGGTAACACGGTTATCTTTTTGCCATATACACATTGACTTTTTACTATTGGTTCATAGACATTGACTTTTTATATTTATATTAATTTCTTTTCACTTTACAAATAAAAAAATAAATCTCTCTCTCTCAACAATATCCTCCTGCTACTCCACTCTAAAACTCCCACACCAATCATCCAAGGCACCACACAAGTTATTCATTAAAAAGACGTCGGTAAGAAATAAATCCAAGAAATTGTTACTGAGACGTCGGAGATGTATAGTTACAATAAAAGCTTATCTTCTACCACCATGTCTACGTCGACCTTCACAGATACCGAAGGAGGTAGTTGAAATCGAAGATGATGGCGTCGTTACACAGAAAAAAAAAAAAAAAAAAAAAAAAAAAAAAAAAAAAAAAAAAAAAAAAAAAGAAAAAGAAAAAACGTCCCCACCACCTAAAACGGTTCCCACGAAACGGCCGGAGAAGTGCATCGGCGAGATTTTTAAGGAAAACGACAGAGGCATCAAGCCACCATCTAGAAGGTTAGTAGCTCATTCGCCAAATAAAAGTAGGTTTCCATCCAAGACAACGCCAACAACACCAATGCCATGGGAATGTTTGACCATCGGATGTTTTCTGACTAGGCCTCCACTTTCTGACATAGATTAGGAGACAACTCTGGTGAGCAGATACGAGTGAAATATGATGATATTGAAAGAAATATGAAGGTGGTGAAGGTCGGTATTCCATCGGAGCTGGAGACAAGTAAGTTACGGATAATCCGGTTGTTTCGTGGGTTAAGGACCAAATGTAAAACTCCAGAACCATATGCCTTATGTAGGCATGTGTGTGTTTATATGTGAAGTTTGATGTGTGCGTTTATATTTTTTTAATTGGAGAGAGAGAGATTATTTTTTAATTAACTAAAAGTCACAGGTTTTATTAACTAGATGAAGAGCTCACTAAACATTTTGTTCCTTTAAAAGGCTCGAAAATAATTTTAGGGAGTGAATAGGCAAAATCGAAATACATAGTAAGGCCGTTGCGTCATTTTCCCTCTTATATAACATGTAAAACTTGTTACACGCCGTTTTATGAAACATCTATACATTCACGAGATTATTATACAAGTCAGTCAGAATTTTGTTTTAGGGTAGGCCAAATAATATACAAAATACAAACCAGTGGCAAAATTCTGCAAACGATAACAAAATGTAACTATATATGCAATCTTAACTAAATTTTTTATTTAAGTTGCATATGATATTGTCTTACATCATTAAAATAATCTAAAATATGGTCTAATCGACATAAACAATAATGTATTCTTTTTTACTAATTTCAAGTTTTGAATGGAATAAGTCATATCACAACCCTAATTCTTTTTAGTTAACAAAAATATATATTGTACATACCATATACCATATGTGTGTGTGTATATATATATATATATATATATATATATATATATATATATATATATATATATATATATATAGATATATATATATATATATAGGCCTACGCTTGTTCTATATTGGCTACGCCCCTGATACAAGTAGAATATCAAGAAGATACCAAGATTAAACTCAAAAGTACACTATTTTTTATGTGTAAATCATCACTATTGACAAGCAACATAACAAAAATACGTAGTTGTTTTATAAAATTTTGCTAGGAAATGACTATTAGTAAAAGATAATCAAGGCGATATGTATGTGTCGCATAAATAGAACCATGACTTACTAAAGAATATTCGAACTAAATGACCATATACTCATATATAACAATTTCACGAAATATGTCTACATTCGAAAAAGGTATATGATCTTATATGCTTATTTTGAACAAAGTAGCATGTCAACAAGGATGAAATAATTTAAGGATTAGGGAGGAGTGTTTGGACCGAAAACTCAAACCAAAATCAAAACTTGAACTGAACCGAACCAAATTATGACTGAATAAGTTATTTGGATCGGTTCTCTGGTATATATTTTAGGCTTATTCGGTTCCCCGGTTATTCAGTTTGGGTTACTCGGACAACGTCTTTATCGGGCCTAAAGGATCGAGCCGGATTATTTTTGTCCGATTTGTCCGATTATTTTTCCAGCTTGCAGTTCACAATTTAAACTATTGTTTACATAATTTATACCCATTTTTGGTTATATATTCAATGAGATACAGACTCCTAAAGATGACGTATTAAAGCTGAGTTTTCTATTTCAGCATATTTGCAGAATTTTATGGCAACTTTAAAGTGTCATAACGTCTTTCATTATTTGTCTAATTTGCCCGATTTTTCCAACTTGTAGTTAACAATTTAAACTATCGTTTACATAGTTTACATGCATTTTTTGGTTGTATATTCAACGAGATACAGACTCCTAAAGATGAGGTATTAAAGTTGTTTTTTTAAACTAACAATTTTTTTTTTTGTAATAGATCCTATATATGTTTGAGATGTTTTGTCCCATGTAGAAGAAGATTTCAATATTTTTAGAGCTATGGTTGGATCACTCGATCCACATTTGAATTTAAATAATTTGACTTCCTTTGATTATTGTAAATGTTATTCGATATTATTCGGTCCTTAATTATATTATAAATGTTATTTAGTTCGGGTAATAGTCGAACCAGACCGATTAGTACCTGAACTGAACCGAACCCGTATTGGTTTAAACGGTTCGGTTTTCGGTTCCTCCAAATAGTCTTATTCGGTTTTCGGTTTATTCGGGTTCGGTCATGTGCCGACCCGAATAAAGGCAAATCGGTTAAAATGATCCACAAAGGATGGTATTCTTGTAAAAGTGAAATCCTTCATTTTTAGTATTTTGGAAACCATATCAACATGAAACCAAATCATGAAATTTGAATGGAATTTCAAATTCTTCAAAATCAAACGTTCCTTATTAATTTTATTAAGAAACCAATTTTCAATCTTGAATCTCGGGTTTATCCAACAAAATGTTAATCCCTTTAGAAGTTTGATGAGGTTTTTATAAACACTTATTCAAGTTTAATCACATACATGGTACAAAAAAATACATTTAAAAAACAAAATATTTATGAAAAATATGTAGCTATTCTATGATATTAACTTATTTTAAAATAAATTATTGTTTTGCATAATGTTACGAAAATATATTGCTTAAGTGAACATATTAAAATGTATTGACTTTGTACATAAAAATTGTATTGTCTCATATAAAGACCATTTAAATACATTGTTGTTGTGTGTTTGATATTGTTAGTGCATGTGCATTGTAACTTTAAATGGTAGTTGGGTTCATCTGGATCTTTGGAAGGATGTATATTGTATTTATGCGTCCAAAACATCATACGACCATCAAAATATATATATTTCTTAAAGAATATACATATTTAAGAGAATAGTTGCATGTATTAGGCATTACCAAATATTCATTTGCACGTTTATGAAACATTTTGTTGATATATGATTGGTAGGCATTAAATCTACTTGAATTGTATTCTTAACTCAAGTGTTTTTTTTTTAATTAAGTGTATGTTCGGCAACGTGCTTTTTGAAAGTTTATTTTAAACTAAAAAGTTTAAATTCAAAAACTACTTCAAACATTTTGATAGATTTTAAGAGTTTTAGATTTTAGGTTTTATGTTATTTTATATGGTCAAAAGATTATAGGTTCCCCAAACAGTTTTATATAAATAAGAGTAAATTATAGGTTCCTCAAACATTTCTATATAAATAAAGAGTAAATTACAACGTTGGTTCTTGTGGTTTATACATATCTACCAATATTATCAAGATCAGTATCTTATATAGGATCGGTTTTCGTTTTGCAAGATCGTGATTGTAAAATTGAATCGGAATTTTAAGATATAGATTAAAATGTAAAAAATACATGTGGGCCCATTGGTTAACCACTCTACTAACAAAAGATAATTTAAAACATGAAAAATACATCAATATACAATATTTAACTATTAAGATTCAAATGGGTTTTGTCATAGATATAATACAATTACAATTATCTTATAGGTCATAAAACATATATTTCGTTTGGAATTTCTTATGAAATAATCACGTCACGTTACATTAATAAACATAGCAAACTAGTTAACTTTGTAACATAAAGTCAAAGTATGAACGTACCAAAGTCCAAAGGAGTCCATATAAAATATAGCCGTTGCTACGATCCGATGCCACGTCTCTACAAGTTTCAAACCGCAAACCACAAAAAGCCCACCGCCTTCCCCTTCACCTTCATCGAACGTTCACCAAATCACTCACTCACTCTCACACACAGAATTCACACGTCCATCATCGCTATAATCAATCTCTTCCAGACGGATTCATATACTCTTTGTATCGTCTTCATCAGCTTCTTTCACAGGCATCAAATCAACTAAAAGCGTCGAGTTTTGTTCGGCATCTGAAGGGTTTTTACAAGTATATCGGTTACTAATTGGAGCACAACAAGTTTCGAATCAGTACGTATCTACGATTTTTTCCGTATATTTTGTGTTCGATTGTGATTATTCATCAATATAACTTCGTTTGAAATCCCCAATTGATGCTACGTAGAATTTACCAATTTCACTGGTTCAACAGGAAGCTCTTCTCATCATATTTCTACATTTATAACAAATTATTATCTACTTGAAGAACGAAACACGATAAAATATCATCGAAGATCAATGCAATTGTGATTTCGTGCCGAAATTGAAAATTTTAGTGGTTGGAAACTTGAAATTAGGTGTTAAATCGGATTCTGACAGTTTTTTTTTCAATC